AATATCATAAGTAGAAATGCATCAGGTTACAGCCCAGTAAGCCCATCGTGACATTGAAAAATTGTGAATTGAACCATTGTAATTCAGATGCTTCTTGATTTAAGATGGGATTATATCCTGATAAACCCATCATAAAGCCAAAACATCTTAAATTGAACCATCCTAAGTCAGGGACAGGCTGTAGGTAGTCCAGAATTGAAGTGAATTAGTGGATACCCAGCTGGCATCTGCTGTAGAATTGACTGCTTACTTGATGTGTGTGGTAAAACCCCCACCCATCTGGTATCAGAAGCGTGTTGTGAGAGTGTGGCAGGAGAAACTGAGTCTGTTTATTCCTGTATACACACAGGGCTTCGTGCTGTGTCACTCCATCGCTGGGGGTACGGGTTCTGGCCTGGGCTCCTACCTCCTGGAGCGACTGAATGACAGGCAAGCCTGTGTTTGGGGAGAGGGCATTAACCCTGGTTCCCTGGGTAATATCGTTGCTTTTTTTCTCTTGAGTTAGAAAGTCTGCCATTACCCTTTTGAGTCATAGGGACAGACTCACCCAAGGACCATGCTGGAAGCTATATTGGGGTGGGGGGATTTACCTAGGGAGAGGAGGGGATCTACAGAGTTTGATGCTTTCAGGCTTCTCCTTTTTGGCTCTGAAGACACAGTCTGCCCTCACCCTTTTTGTACAAAATGGTACAGATGGGCAGTGATGGGGTTCCTTGTAGTTCACTATGCTACCACCCTCTTTTCTCTCAGGTACCCCAAGAAGCTGGTGCAGACTTATTCAGTGTTTCCCTACCAGGATGAGATGAGCGATGTGGTGGTCCAGCCCTACAATTCACTTCTCACACTCAAGAGGCTGACACAGAATGCAGACTGTGTGGTGAGCAAATTAAGAGTTGAGGGGGTGGGTGCGGTGGCTGATGCCTGTTAAGTCTAGCACTTTGGGAAGCTGAGGCGGGTGGATCTCTTGAGCTCAGGAGTTCGATACTAGCCTGGGCAACTTGTGAAACCCTATCTCCACAGAAAATACAAATATTAGGGCTGGGTGCGGTGGCTCATGCCTGTAATCCCAGCACTTTGGGAGGTCAAGGTGGGCGGATCACCTGAGGTTGGGAGCTTGAGACCAGCCTGACCAACATGGAGAAATCCCATCTCAACTAAAAATACATAATAAGCCAGGCATGGTGGTGCATGGCGGTAATCCCAGCTACTCGGGAGGCTGAAGCAGGAGAAGTGCTTGAACCTGGAAGCTGGAGGTTTTGTGAGCTGAGATTGCGCCATGGCACTCCAGCCTGGGCAACAAGAGCAAAACTCCATCTCAAAACTAAACAAAACAAAAAGCTGGGCATGGTGGTGTGTGCCTATAGTCCTAGCTACTCAGGAGGCTGAGCTGGCGGGATCGCTTGAGTCCAGGAAGTCGAGGCTGCAATGAGTTGTGATCACACCACTGCACTCCAGTCTGGGCAACAGAACAAGACCTTGTATTTAAAAAAAAAAAAAAAAGAGCCTGGCGCAGTGGCTCACACCTATAATCCTAGCACTTTGAGAGGCTAAGGTGGACAGATCAACTGAGGTCGAGACCAGCCTGACCAACATGGAGACCAACATGACCAACATGGAGAAACCCCGTCTCTACTAAAAATACAAAATTAGCTAGGTGTGGTGGCACATGCTTGTAAGCCCAGCTACTCGGGAGGCTGAGGCAGAACAATCGCTTGAACCCATGAAGCGTAGGTTGCAGTGAGCCGAGATCAAGCCATTGCACTCCAGCCTGGGCAACAAGAACAAAACTCTGTCTCAAGAAAAAGAAAAAAAAAGAGTAGGGACTTCGGTCTGTCTCCCCAGGCCAGTGAGTCTCATTCACCCTGCCCTCCCCCAGCCCTCTCCACACAGAACAGAGGCCCAGCAAAGCCATACCTGTGGGCCAAATTAGGAAATAAGGTCCTGATCTCTAAGTTTCTTAGAATCCTCTTAGGCAGCAAGACTCAACAAAGTGAATATACCTCCCCCTACCACCACGTACCCCACCTTTGCCTACTTAATGCCCCCTCATGCTTGAACTCCCAGCTCAAGGATAACTTTCTTAGCAAAACCTTTCCTGACTACTCAGTCAAGATCAGATTCCTTTGCGTGTATTTCTGGGAGTTAACTATACTTTTCTGTTTTATATTTAGTGCACTTCCCTCCCTACTAGACTGTAGGCCTAATGAAGGGAAAGATGGTGCCTGTTCCTCTCTGTGGCCTCCCCAGAGCCAGGCACAATGAGTGTATGGCACATGTGGGTACTCACGTGTTTGTTTACTGCCCTGCATGGTCCGAGAGTATCTCATGATGCCCCAGAGACAGTACTTTTGTTTCTTTTTATTTTTTATGGAAATGGCATCTTGCTGTGTTGCTTAGGTTGGTGTCCAACTCCTGGCCTACAGTGATCCTCCCACCTTGGCCTCCCAAAGGGCTGAGATTATAGGCGTGAGCCACCATGCCCAGCAGTTTTTGTTTTAAACTAACAAACCTCTTCCTGGCTTTGGAGTTCAGCAGGGGTTAAGCCAATACCTTATTTCTATGCCCATTTTCTCCTGAAGAGGCTGTGACCCTCTGCTGAGGCTGTGACCCTCTGCTGTCTCCACAGGTGGTGCTGGACAACACAGCCCTGAACCGGATTGCCACAGACCGCCTGCACATCCAGAACCCGTCCTTCTCCCAGATCAACCAGCTGGTGGGTCCCCACTGCTGGACTCCTTTGGACTGGAAGTCCTTCTTGCTGGAGGGTCATCTGGGGAAGGGAGGTCCCACTCAGGCCGAGGCCCATGACATGGCACCCCTGTCCCCAGGTGTCCACCATCATGTCGGCCAGCACCACCACCCTGCGCTACCCCGGCTACATGAACAATGACCTCATCGGCCTCATCGCCTCACTCATCCCCACTCCGCGGCTCCACTTCCTCATGACCGGCTATACCCCACTCACTACGGACCAGTCAGTAAGAGCAGCCTCAGTGTCCCAGGCCAGGCCAGCCCTGGGCCCAGCAGGCCCTACCCTAGCCTTTCTCTCCTCCCCTCTGCCCCAGGAGCTTTGCAGGCGACTTTCTTGTTGACTTGCTCTCTACCTCCACTCTGCCTTTGGCTTCTGCCAAAGAGAAGCCAAAAAGGGGACTGTGTCCTGAGCCCTGGCCGGGTCCTTGCTTCACTGTCCATTAGGTGGCTAGCGTGAGGAAGACCACGGTCCTGGATGTCATGAGGCGGCTCCTGCAGCCCAAGAATGTGATGGTGTCCACAGGCCGAGACCGCCAGACCAACCACTGCTACATCGCCATCCTCAACATCATCCAGGGAGAGGTGGACCCCACCCAGGTAGGGGAGGCCCCTTCATCCCGCACCCTGGACCCACAGGGATAGAGGAGACGCCACCTCCTCTGCTCCTGTGCCCTCCCCAGGTCCACAAGAGCCTGCAGAGGATCCGGGAACGGAAGTTGGCCAACTTCATCCCATGGGGCCCCGCCAGCATCCAGGTGGCCTTGTCAAGGAAGTCTCCCTACCTGCCCTCAGCCCACCGGGTCAGCGGGCTCATGATGGCCAACCACACCAGCATCTCCTCGGTGAGTCTGGGTTTCTGTTCTTAGGACAGTCTGTTCCACTGGCTACCTTCATCATCTTCCCCAAGTTTGTTCCTAACCCCCGGCTCGCATTTTGGAGATTTTCGTCTCTTTCAGCTCTTTGAAAGTTCCTGCCAGCAGTTTGACAAGCTGCGGAAACGGGATGCCTTCCTCGAGCAGTTCCGTAAGGAGGACATGTTCAAGGACAACTTTGACGAGATGGACAGGTCTAGGGAGGTTGTTCAGGAGCTCATTGATGAGTACCATGCCGCCACACAGCCAGACTACATCTCCTGGGGCACCCAGGAGCAGTGATTTCCCTCCCCACTACTCCTGGACGGGAAGCACAGCCTCAACCATGCCTGCACCCTTAACCCAACTTCACCTCATGGACAACCCTTCTTGGCTCATCTCCAGCCCATGAGCTGGTCCTGCTTCTTCCCTCCATGCCCTGACTCTTGATATGCTTCTTAAGCACTACTAAAGTAATAAAGCTTGGTTGTCAGTATAGCCAGGGCTTGATCTATGAATACGGGGGGTGGTGAAGGGGTCCAGTTTCTAGGCATCTGACATAGGGTGGCTTTCACCTCCTCGAACGTCTTACCCCTTAGTCCAGATTTTAGTGTGTTCACTGTTTCCACTGGCATCCCTCACCTTGAACTGGGCTGTTTTACTAGAGGCAGCCCTTGTCTCAAGATTACAGAGCTTTACTGAGGTCTGCTGTCTCCTCAGTGCCTAAGCTTTTGCCCCAGTGAAGGTCAGTGTTGCCCCAGCCTCTTCCACTCAGGGCAGAGGAAGTGGAGTCTACTGAAGGAGGGCACACTGCATTCTGAGCAGGCCAGGAAAACCAGGACTCTGGAATCCTAGTGCCCAGAGCCATGAGAGTCCCAGGAACTCACTCTAGTTCAACCCAACCTGGTAAGTAGAAGCAGAATTCAAGAGGGGCTGAGCACATCCTGAGTTACTTTTTTGTGCCAGAGAAATTTATGGGTTTGTTATCTGCCCCAAGCTTCTCTCCATTCTAGGCCCAAGGCATTAGGCACACCAATGATGGGCCCAGAGCTGGACACCAGAGTAAGAACTGGGCAGTACCAGATCTGATGACTCACTGCCCTCCAGCCTCAGGGATGCCAGGAGGCCATCCATATGCCACTCAATGGAGAAGGGAGGGTGAGTAACTGCCAGCTTCCAATGAGGCCTGTTTGCCTGCTCCACCCACAAGCCTGTGGTAGCATACTGGCCAGGAGGAGGTTAAGTCTCGAAGGTCAAGGAGGGGGAGGGTGAAGCACTGTGGTGTCCAGACTTTCCCCAGAGCCTGGTAAAAGCCCAGAGTGTGGGTGTCCCAGGAGGCGGGGCTCTGCATTATGGGGTTCCAACTTGTCCCACTGAATAACACTCCCACAGGAAGGGTTTGTGTAAATAAGAAACTTTTTTTTTTTTGCTTCTCTTCTACAAATAAATTAAGAAACAAACTAGAAAATTGCCCACACCCATTGTAGCCCTTGGATGTGGGATGTGCCCTGTCCCTGCAGGGCCAAAAGGGTCCACGTTTCCCTCAAATCTCAGAGCAGTCCTGGCCCAGGCTGGAGGCAGGCGAGATGTCGTGACCTCTTGGCAGGCTCAGTCCTGCAGCTGCCCCAAGCAGCCAGACTGTCCCTGGGGCTCGTCCAGGCCCGGGTGCTGGCTGGGAGGGGAGGTGTCTGGCAGGTCTTGGCATGGAGGAGAAGAGCTGCTGCAGGGCCTCTCGGGGGAGGGGTTGGCCAAGTAGGCATTCACCAGCTGCATGATCTCTTCTACCTAAGAGAGGGCAGAGGTCAGTGTGCAACAGGAGCTGCCGGGCTCTCTACTTTTTCTCATCCTCTATGCCCCTGCAACCTTTCCTTCCTTATCTCCACTCTCTCCCTCATTTCTATGTGCCAATCATACTTGCTTCTTTCTGCGCCTCTAACAAGCCAAGTTTACTGTCATCTCAGGGCCTTTGTGTTGCAATTCTTTCTTTCTAGAATGCTGTTCCCCACGTCTTCCTTGGCTAGCTTAAATGGCACCCTCTTTGAGAACCCTTCCCTGACTTCCTGTCACATCACTCTTTCCTTTGTAGCATTTCTCACTGTCTTAATAGCCTGGGATTCCTTGTTTATTGTCTGACTCCCCAACTCTAGTGTAAGCTTCTTGAGCTTGTCTGTGATCGCTGCTGGATCCCAGTGCTTAGACTCTACCTGGCCCAGGCTTGGTGTTCAGTAAATGTTTTCTGACATCCCTTCCTTCTCTCCTCCTCCCACAACCCCTCTTCCCACTCACCTGGGGGCTCTGCAGGAGGAGCTGACTCTCCCCCACCCTCAGTGCCAGGGTGTGGGGGCCCATTAGCTGGCAGGCGGCCACATGGCCATAGCTGACACTGTGGATGGGCTCTGTCTCCCCTGGCCGGGAGAGGGACATGGCCTTGGCTCCCAAGCCCAGGCATAGCTTTTGTGGAGCACCCCCACCAGGCTCCTGCAGACAGGGGCAGAGTCAGGGTGGAAGGAGGAGACCAGCGTTATTTTGAGGAGGGGGAGATGGGTGGCTGTGAGCAGGAGTTTCCTGATCCCCCGTGATTCACAGCACGTTTGTGGAGGGGCTAAGGCTCCAGGGATATGAGGGCCCAAGGGCTGGTGATTCCTGGGGTTTGAGATGGGCAGCTGTTCTGGATGTGGGGAATGAAGTGACCCTCCGTGGGGATCTGTGGCTCTGGGGCAAAGGTGTGGGGCTTGGGCCACCAGAGTCCCCTTCTCCCTTCTCCCCCTCACCGTGCTCAGCTCCAGAACGTCATACCGAGCAGCGCCGAACCCCGGACACTGCGCCGCCAGGGTCAGGTAGGCGGCCATGGCCTCTGCTCGGCCCATGCCCCGTAGCCGCTTCCAGCTGCCCAGCACCGCAGCTGCCGTGCTGGCGCTGCCGCCTCCTTCGCGGGCCGTGGTTCCCGCCATGCGGCCGGCCCCGCCGCGGCGGGCCCGCTCTGCCCGCCTCTTGGCCAGGCCCGGGCTCCAGAGCGCCCCGGCCAGCAGGGCGGCAGCGGAGGGGGGTGACCTGGGGGCCGGGCGGGGCGGGTCTTCACGTGGGGCCGTGGGCGGTAGCAGGCGATCCAGGCGGGGCAGGGGTACCCGCGGGGAGAAGTCCCGGTGCAGGCTCTGCAGGCGTAGCGCCGCCAGGGCGCGCAGCGTGTCGTCTGGCGGGGGCGGCCGGCCCCGCAGCAGCAGAGCGTGAGCCTGCAGGGGAGGCACCCTGCATCAGTGCACGAGCGGTGGCGGGACCGTAGCGAATACAACTTGTCAGAATCTGAGGAGGTCTAGATTCCAGTCGAGCCTCCCGCGGGGCTGCCATAGTGATGAAATGAGATGGCCCAGAAAACCAGGGGCTCAGGCTTGGGGGTCTATTTGGAGGCATGAACGCCGGGGAGCCTCACCTGCTCAAAGAGAAAAGGCAGTTCGTGACCGTCTGGGGACAGCCCCTCAGGGTGCAGAGGTCCATGAAGACGCAGACACAGTCTCCACCCGGAATCGGAGGAGTCCTCCAGCCCAGCTTCCTCCGCTGCCAAGCTGCAGAAGAGGAGCGGACACGCTGCTTTGGAGAAGCAGGGCCCCCATTGCGCCGCGGCTGGGGGTGGGGGCGGGGCCATATGTTTGGGGCGGGGCCTGGGCGAAGCTGATCGCGGAGGTGATGCTAGAGTCGGACTGCAAACCTGCGGCGGGCAGGCCCATCTGTAAACCAGCGAACGCCACAGCGCAGGGCCAGGGGCAAGCACTGGCTAACGTCCGCTTAGAGACTGACCGAAGCCGAGAAGTGAATGGGCTAATAGAGAGCAGGGCTGGGGCTGGACATTTACTTCTCAAACCTGGTGAGCACGTCGGCCACGAGGGTCCCCCCAGCCAGCGCTCGCTCCTGGGCCCCTCGCTGCTCGTACAGCGCGAATGCATTGCGACTCCGGGCCAAGCCCAGCCGCCCCACCAGCTCTCGAGCCACCTAGAAGAGGAGGGTGAGGGGGAAGTAAGACCACTCAGGGATATTGCCAGGATTATGGGAGGGGCTGATTCAATTGGAAAGGGTCTCTTAGTCCTGTCACCACCACTCCATCCCTTACCAAAATAATCTGACACTCGGGGCAAACCTAGGGCCCAGGAAGCGGGAGAGGCAGGCGTGAGAAGCTGGCAAGGTGGGTTGGAGGTCATGGGGCCTTTCTCTGGCCTCACCTCGCCCGCTGTGGTGTGGGAGTCGATGGCCACAGCACAGGCACCAGCCCCCGGACAGTGCACGGTGCACAGCAGCTCCTGCCGTCGGCTCAGCGCGGAAATCTCCGCCAACGAAGGCACCAGCTCGCGGCCACGAGTCCGGCCCAGCGCTTTCCGGATGAAGCGCGCATATTCCGCCAGTTCCGAGTCCGGGAGTGCCTGCTCGGTCCTGGGTTAGGAGGAACCCAGGGATCAATGCTCCAAGGACTTTCCTTCTTCCCCTTCCTCTTGCCTTCTTCTATGATAGTTTATCTGGCCGATTTCCTCCCTGCCCCAACTCAGGTTCTTCGAAGGCTCTCCTAACATTGTCCCCAGTGCTTTGCATAGAGCTGAATTACTTTCCAGTCCCCTGCAGCTTTCTCCCAACCGCCCTCACCACTTCCAAAGTCTCCATGAACTTCCTTCGGGCTGAAATCGAAATCCAGCCACTTTGCTACACTTTCCTAACCCCTGGCGCTAGCCTGCATCAGCTGGAGGAAAAGCAGCCTTTTTGTAATTCCTCAGCCCGAGGGGGAAGTTTTATTGTAATTCATCTGCTCACAAGTGAGACGGGATCCTGTATCTCCCACAAAGGCACTGTATGTATTACCAGCAGCCCTGACCTTGGGCAAGTCCTTTCCCTTTTCAGGGTCTAGGTTCTTTATCTACTAAACCTTTTGCAAAAGACTTCTCATTCTCTCCCAGCCCAGTAGCTCCTCCACTAAGCCGTAACCCCCGCCTCGCCCCCTCACCTCTCCAAGTGCCCCAGGAGGTGTCCCCGTACAGCTACCCCAGGCCGGAAGGTGCAGCTCATGCAGGTGAGGAGTTGCCAGTACCGCAGGGTCGCAGGGTCTCGGGTAGCCGGGAGCCCGGGGGGGCCTGCAGGGCCCGAGGTCTGCTTAGCCAGCTGCAGGAAGAGTTCATCCCGGAGCGCGGGCAAGTCCCGGCAAGTTTGGAGCACACCCTGCATTAAGGGCCCGGGGCGCCGCGCCCCCTCCAGCGCCTGCAGCGCCAGGAACAGCCGCACCGCCTCCTCGCGCAGGGGTGCATAGCCCGGACCTGTGGGAGGGTGAGGGCGGAGGGACGGTTTGGAGAGGGAACACAGAGCTGCACCCTGGGAGGAAGGCAAGAACCAGGGGAAGGTCAGAGGGAATATAAGGGGATGGGGTGGTAGGTGGGGGAGGGTACGAACGACAGGAAGAGTGAAGGGAAAGCAGTAGTCCCTGCCTCCCAGAATCCCCTTTCCAATCCCACTAAGCCTGGATTTGGGTTTAGGGAAAGGGATGAGCAAGGGGCTACTGGTTCACACCCCAGATTCTGTAACTAGATACTAAGGCTCATCACCATAGGTCAGAAAACAGGCTGGACTAGGTCAGAAAACCGGGATTCCTCTCCCAGCACCCTTTAATCCTCTAACTTTAGGATCTGGGCCAGTCACTACACCACTTAGGGAGAAGTACAGTTGGATGAGGCCAGCACATTCGACCAAAGTGGTAGCTTTTCTACCGTTCATAAAGGTAATATGACATGGTCTCAAGAGTATAATGGAAAAATAGAAGAGCGTGTGTACAAACTCCTGAAGCAACATCAGTAGTCAGAACAAGACTCATAGAGAAGGTGGTCAAAGGGGACCCTTTTGTGGGTGCTGGCTTCCTCCCCTTCCCCTGGCCAGCTTCCAGTTTCACCTTCATTCTTTGAAAAGCAAGGAGCTGGCAGGCCCCTGGAGGATGCTTAGGTCCCTGCCAGTTAAGGCATTCGAATTCTTACCCTCTGATCCACCCCATTCCATCCAGGGAGACTTGGACCATGGGACCACTCACCTGGGGCGCTGACTCCATAGGGCAGGGGCAGGAGCGGGGCATACAAGGCTCCACTGGTGTGTCTCAGAATTGGGTTCCGCAGGTAAATAAGGGCAACGGCCTCTGGGTCCCCACAACTTTCCTAGGGGCCAGGGAGAGGGTCATCTTGATGGGAAAGGAGTTCCCCATGAGCCCAGAAAGCTTTGGGGTCCATCACTCTCCTGGCTCTCCCTGGTGTTCTCTCTTACCTGTATGTCCCTGAGCAGTAGCTGGGTGGGGGTCTCCAGGGGTGCCTTGGAGGCAATCACTTCCCGCAATGCCACCCCCCAGCGCTCGGCCTCTGCCTGGCGTGGGGAGCAGAGGCGGACACTGTGCTTCCGGCCAGACACAGTCACTGACCACAAACCTGGGGAAAAGAGAGGCCAGGCCGGGGAGGGCAATTAGGATCTGCGGGGGCCCTTGCCTCGGAAGGTAGGAGAGTGTCCCCACGAGGTCTCACCTGTCTCCTTACGCCTGCGCTCTGGACCTGTCACCGAGCACAGGCTGGTGAGTACAAGACTCCCGAGGCGCCGCGCCCCCTTCCCGCTGCTGCTGAACTGATCCAGGGAGTCCCGCGTGAGCACGAACCAGGCTCGGCGTGGGGGTAGCCAGGGCCGCGCCCCTCCTCCGCGGGGCTCCCGGTACAGCCAACCTGGGGGCAGGAGAGGGAGGGAAGGGACATCGGTAGGAGACATTAACCCTTGGAGGGTTGGGACTGGAGGCCTCCAGAGTGCACTGAGGGGGTCTCTACCTTTCACAACGATGTCTGGGTCGTCCTCCGGCAGCCCTTTCTCCGGGATGAGGCTCCAAGTTTCCTCCCAGCTCTGCAGCCTGGGCCAGAGGGGAGGGAGGGTTGGGCTTCCACTCCGCCTCTAGGGGGCTCCTCAGTAGGGGCTCCCCAGACCGCAATGGTGTCTGCTCCAAAGCTGGACACCCTCCCCCAGGCTGTGGGAACCATCGGGCCATTCTGACCTTGCACCAGAAATAGCCCCGACCCCCGCCTTTCTCCCCGTGCCCCCAGCCGGACCGCCCCCCGGGACCCCAGCCAAACCACAGCGTCCGGCGTAGGGCCTCTCCCTTATTGCACAACTGGGAGCTAAGACAGCGAGGATGGAGGTCCAGGGAACAGGCTGGGGTCTCGAGACTATGGGACGTAGGGGCATAGCTCACCTGTGGGAGACTGGCCCGCTCCTCACTGGCTGAGTCAGTGTCACTTCCAGGGGACCCTGGGGAGACAGGCGGGAAAGCCCTCAGGATCAGAGCCCTTCCTGCGCAAGGTTTGGGCCTTCTGCCCTCAGGACAGGGCTGCTCAGGGGATTGAAGAAAGAGTCACAGAGTGGGGTCGTGACTGGGGTGGAGCATTCTGGAGCCTCTGGGCTTGCCCCTCCGCGGTCTCAACACGACAAGCTCTCCAGAACAGCAGGAGCTAAGGAGCCAAGACTCCCTCCATTACCCTTTGAAGATACAATTAAGGGTAGGGTAGGGTGGAAAGAGCACTGGGCAGAGAGTCAGGAGATCTGGGTTCTAATTCTAGCCCGACCACGAACTCACTGTGGAACCTTGGGCAAGTCTCTTCCCGTCTCGGGGCCTTAGTTTCCCTAACTTTGAAACAGGAGAGGAGAGCTCACTCTGCCAGGCTCCAAGGTACCCTCTCCTCCTCATTTTCCCATCTCCCACACTGCCTCCCTGTCCAGGGCAGGACAGGTGGTAGGCACAGAGGTGAACGAAGGGCAGAGGAACCCTTTCAGGATAGGGCTTTCTCCAAAAGCGTCTTGCATTCTCCCATATACACTCCTGAGACTCAACAGTGAGCAGAGACCCTGTTCCTTTGCTGAGGCTTAGGAAGGGCCGGCCAGGCTGAGGAATGGCACACCCTCCTGAGGCAGGTGTAGATCAGGGTTTTGTCCTCCCCCTCCTCCTCCTTCTCCCTTCCCCCTGTCCTGGAACGTCAACTGTAGACTGGGGTCTGAGAAAGGCCACAAACCCAACCCGGAGGCCAGCCAGGCGGGAACCGTGCCATCCTCATATTGCGCCCAGACTGCTAGAGCCAGGAGGAGGAGGTGGGGGAGGGGGCCAGGGGACACCTGTCCCCAGGCTCCGGGAAGGGGGGAGTGGAGATGGAGCGTGAGAGAGGCAATGGCCTGATAAAGCCGACCCTGCCCAGGCTGGAAGCTTGGGGACGCCTGGGTCCTGTGCCTTTCCTACGTGAACCTCCACCTATTTTCTGGAGGGTCTGAGTGGGGCTGTCAGCCACACCACATGTGGCAGGTACTGACCACCCTCTTAGACTAACTCCCCTAATCCCAGTGCCCTGCTTTCCTCCCTCCCCTCCTCTATATTTATCCACCCTCCGCCTCCGCCAGGTGCTGGCGCCGGCCCCGGCGGGCAGCCGGCCCCACCCGGGCACCAAGCCACTGGGCCTGCTAGGGACCCCTGCGCGAAGGATGGGGGCCTGACTCTGGCCAGAGCACATGGGAGTCTGGCCGCCAGTGTGCAGGGGGGATGGGAGAGGAGACGTCAGGGGATGGAGGTCTCCACACCAATTGTGCCTCCGTTTCCCCACGGGGAGATTCGACAAAACCAGGCAGCAACCAAGTGTCCCTCACCATCCATCCCTCAGGGGGTTCCCAGGAGCCTCACCGGGGAAAGCCGAGAGTTCTGCCTTGAGTGGCAGGGTAATGAGGAGGGGTCCTCAAAGAGCCCCCAGCTCCCTCGCCGTGGGGTCCCCGCCACGGATCCCAATCCCGGGATGACTTCTCCCCTTCGCCCAGGTCTCCGCAGCTGGAGCTCTCGCATCTGGCTTCAGAGCTCGAGAACTGGGAGCTGAGGGGGACCCAGGCGTTCCAGCTGCCCAGCCGGCCTCGCCACATTCCTCGGCGCTGGCGGAGGCGGAAGGAGACGGGATGGGACGCGGGCCCAGCGGGGAAGGGAGAGGCAGGGCCAGGTCGGGCCACGCGTGACGCCTCCCCTGCCTCAGGGCCCCCAGCAGGTGGACAGCGCCCAGCCTGCGGCGGGAGGCCCAAAGGCACATCCTGAGTAGAGCTGCTGCTCCAAGAGCTCCCGGGGGCTTTGGCCCCCAGGCAAAAACCTCCCCCAAGTCCCTAGTTCGCCAGGCGCGCAGCGTGTGGCTGGAGGCTGGAGCGGATCAGCGTGACGGCCGGTTACAGCGAGCGTGATTGAAACGCGGCTCCGAACCCGGGACTTACCCTCCCGCCGCCCGCCGGACTCGGGGTCCGTAGCTCAAAGGTTTCCTCGTCCTCGTCCTCGTCCCCGTCCCCGCTAAGCTCGCCGTCCCCGTAGTCCCGGTGTAGAAGAGTGAAGCCTCGACGGCAGCAGAGAAGCCACCACAGTCCCCCGGGAAGAGGCATCCGGACGAGGAGCCGGGGGATGGGGGCGCGGGCAGCCGCGGCCGAGCAGCAGGGGGTCGGAGGAACTGGCGGGGCTCCGACCCGAGCAAGGGAAAGATGAGGTGGGAGGAGCAGGAGGGAGAAAGGGACAGGGAGGAGGCAGTGTCCTGGGCTGGGGTGCAAGGGGACGCTAGCCAGACGCTGAGGGGGGTTCGGTGTCTGGGCCCCCGGAGGGGGGAGGGGGAAAAGCGTCCAGGGCCCGGGGAGAGGAGGGAGCAATGTCCGGAGCTGGGAAGTAGTGTCCGTTGGAGCGTCCAGCCCTGTGGGGGGCAGTGTCCGGTGCAGCGTCCGAGGTGGGCAGTTGTCCAAGCTCCAGGGAGGGTCGTGTCCGGTAGGGCGTCCGGTGGCCGGGGCCCGGGCCGCGCGCGCTGCGCTCCCTGCAGCCCCGGGACTGGCGTGCTGGGGGCGCGAGCACAGAGCTGGGACCCCGCCCCCCCGGCCCCCTCCCTCCCGGGAACCCCCCCTTCTGTCTTCTTTCTCTCCTCCCTTCTTTACTAGGCAGGGTCCTGGTTTCGTCACAGCCTCCTCTGTCCAATCCCTGTGCCTGGCGCCGGGCGCGGCTACCAATCAGAAGGCTGAAACCGCGGCGGGTTGCATCATGTGCCCCTGGCTCCGTGACAGCGGGGAGGGGCGGGGAAATAGGGAGGGAGGGGACGAGGCGATGTTAGCCACGCCCCAGTCTCTGAGGTCGGACACGGGGTGCTAGTGACATCACGGAAGCCCGCCTTCAGGCTCTTGTTTTAACTCTTGGCTCACCAACCAACAAATTAAAAACCCTGTTAAAGAGCTTTGGCACAGGGCAGAGGAAAACCCAACTGCCGCTCTCTGAACCCCTCTCTCGTTTCAGGATCCCTGAGAAAGGGAAAAGCCTTGGCTACTGCAAGGATGTCCAGACCTTCGAGCACACAGCTCTAGACGTGGCCCGACAGGTCTGGAGTGAAGGAGTCCAGTTTCTCTGTGTGATTCAGCTCTCCCTCACCACCCCCCCTTTTTTTTATTCTTCTCGCCCAGGTTGGGGTGCGGTGGAGCCATCATGACTCACTACAGCCTCGAACTTCTTGGCTCAAGGGATCCTCCCACCTCAGCCTCTCCGGGAGCTAGGGACTATAGGCACACACCACCTTGGCTGGCTAATTTTTTAAATTTATTTTTTTGTAGAAATAGTGTCTCACTAAGTTGCCCAGGCTGGTCTCGAACTCCTGGGCTCAAGCTATCCTCCCACCTTGGATTCCCAAAGTGCTGGGATTACAGGTGTGTGCCACCGCACGCCGCCTCACCTCCTTTTTGAGGTGAAGGAGTTGAGGCAGGGACTCTGGGAAGGCGCAGACCTAAGCCGGAAATAAAAGCACCGAACTCAGCTCGGTAGAGTGGCTTGGGATTCTAAGAATTCTGTGGTCTCGGAATAGAGTGGAGGCCTCTTAGGGCGAATATCCTGGGGTTCTGTGTAGGAAGGGGTTAACCCCGGCGCCAGACGGCCGGGGCGGGGCCGCGGCCTCCGCGGGCGCGCGCGCGCGCGTTGCTGACTCAGCGGCGATTCCCGAGGTCTCTGTTGCAGGGTTCTAGGTCAGTCCCCAGTGGCTGACGTGCGGCACCCATTGAGGATCGGCGCCGTCTCCTGGCCTTCCCTGGATCCTGGCCCCTAGAGGCCGTGGCTTCTCGCCGCTGCCGCCCGGGGCTGTGAGAAAGACGGCTAGCCAGTGCTGGGCTGGGCTGGACTGGGCGGGGCTGGGCTGGGTGGGGCGGGGCAGGGCAGGGCGCGGAGGGCGGGGCGGGCGGGGCCATCAGGCCAGCACCTCCCTTGAGACCGCCTCGCCACGCCCCGCCCATCTTGCCCCTAGACTCCAGGCTGGAGCGGTTGGGACAGCTTTGCTGACCAATATTAAAACGCGAGAATTGTCGCACGTGAACACCATCCTGACCATTGTGATTGTGTAAAACAAAGGCCAGGAATCAATGCGAGCGTGTCTGGAGGCCATCTCGGCCGTGCCCTCTCTCCAGATGAGAGTGGCCTGTACGGAGAGATTTCCTAGGAATGGAGATACCACAGTCATCTTCCCGGTCTGGATCCCAAGTCCTTGCCTGCAGAGAAGTTTTTTTCCCCATATCCAACCTCTCTCTTTCCGGCCAGCTCAGTGCATTTCCTCTGACCTGGTCCCCAGAGAAGATGGAGAACAGCAAGCATCCCTTACCCTCACCCATGACAACTACTCTGGAAATTTGCAGCTTGCAATCCCCCCTCCACACACACAGGTTTTTCTCCAAGGTGAAAACTTCAACTCAACTTCTAAAATTCATTTTTTCTTTCCATCACAGACAGTAGGAAGGGATTGTAAAGCGATAATGTAATCCAAACCCCACCCCAAACGGGAATCTCCTGTCCCTACCCTCACCCCCACACCACGCAAAGGCACAGGGCGTCCCCGACAGGTTGAACATTCCAGCAGCGGGAACTCTGTATTTGCTAAGGCAGCCATTACTGAAGAGCGCTCTGGTTGTTAGAAAGCTCTTCCTTACAGTATCGCAAGAGGAACCCCCGCCCCTCCTTGCCTGGCAGCTTTCCCACCTCACCTCTGTTGACTGAGGCCGGGTGACGGTGGAGGGGGTGTCAGTGGCTAGAGCTTTATCAGACTCAGCAGCCCCCTACTCCCACCCAGGCCCTCAGCGCCTTCCACTCGGAGAGCCAAACCCGCGGGGTGGGGGTAGGGGATAGGGCAGGGGGTGGTGGTGGGTGGAGGTGGGGGATAGAGCGGGGGATGGGGGTTGGGGCGGGGTGTTAACCCACCGGCTCTGCCCTGCGACAAATCACTTCCAAGTCGGTGACTCAAAAATAGTAACAGTTTTGGGTTGCGTCTCATTTCCATATTATCAATTTAATGTGACAAGGCACAGAGGTAGTCCCTTTAGGTCCCCGTCTCTTTCTCAGCGTTCCCTCACCTACTCCCCTTTCCCACGACCCTCAGCCTGCCCCCTCCTCTGGATTCGCAGCCCTAGTTGTCCCAGGAGAGACTGTGGGTCTCTGTGGGAGCTGAGCAGGAAGAAAGGCGGGGCCTGCGGGGGCAGCCGCGGCGGGGATGAGGCCCTGAGCTGCAGCCCCCACCCCGTAGCAGCCTCCGCAGGTCCTGGCGGAAGCGCAGACCCAGGAAGGCGTAGAGCACGGGATTGAGGCCGCAGCGGGCGAGGGCCAAGCCGCTGGTCACCAGCAGTGCCAGATCCTTGCGCTTGCTGGCAGGGCAGCTCTGCTCGCGCGCAGCCAGTAGATCGGCCGTATCCAGCAGCAGGGCGAGGCTGTAGGGCAGCTGCAGCACCACGAAGGCCGCCACCAGGGCCACCACGACGCGCAGCGCACGCCGGCGCTCCGGCCCCCTGGCGGCCAGCAGCGTGCGGCCCAGGAGCGTGTAGCAGGCCACCATGACGCCCAGCGGCAGCGCGAAGCCCAGGACCACCTGCGCCACGGCGCTCGCCCCCTTCACCGTCTGTGTGAGGCCCTCGGGGAAGACGAGGCGACAGCGTCGTTGGCCTTCCCGCTGCCCGTCCCGGCTGAAGAGGAGCGCAGGCAGCGCCAGAAGCAGCGACAGCAGCCACACGGTGACTGAGACCAAGTGTTTGCGGCCGGGAGTGGAGGGCCGCGGCCCGCCTGGGAGCGCTCGAGCGATGGCCACGTAGCGGTCGGCGCTGATACAGGCCAGGAAAAGGAAGCCGGCGTGGAAGGAAGCCGAGTAGAGGCCAGAGATGGTGCGGCAGGTGGCACTTCCCAGACTCCAGCCCTGAAGAGCCCCTGCTGCCGCGAAGGGCAGGGTAAGGGCCAGCAGGAGGTCGGCCAGGGCCAGCTGGAACAGGTGGGTGGAGGTGGGCGAGCGCGCTGCGCGTCGGGCTGCCAGATGGGTGGCCAGGACCAGGCCATTGCCGGCCAGACCCAGCGCAGCCACAGTCAGGGAGACACTGGGTTGGAAGACCCGGCTGAAGGCCTGGACATCGGCCTTGTAGCAAAGCTCCGGCAGCGGCTCAGCCGAGTATGCCTCCTCTTCATCCCCAGAGTAGAGGTCCCAGGAAACCTGAGAGGATCAAAAGAGAGGCAGGGTCTTATGACACACATCTCACCCCACGGCTTCCCCTCCCACACATGCCTTCAGAGCTCCTGGGTGGCCAGATGTAACAGTATGCGGGGAGAAGACATAAACTCTTCTGCAGGCTCTTCCTAGCACCCCTTCTGCAGGCCTTGGTTTCCCTTGCACCCCTCCTACCTCTGCTTCCAGCTTCCTGGGTGACCTTGAGCAAGCCACTTCCTCTTTCTGGACCTCAGTTACCTAACATGTAATGTTGAGATTGTTATAAATCCTGACCAGCCCACCTCTCAAGGTTGCTGTGAAGATGGCAATACGGAAGATAATAGATGAGAAAAACCTGTGTTCTCCAAAGACCGTAATACAAAGTTTGTGTTATTATTATTTTTGGAGACAGAGTCTTGCTCTGTTGCCCAGGTTGGAGTGCAGTGGTGTGACTTCGGCTCACTGCAACCTTTGCCTCCCGGTTTCAAACAATTCTCCTGCCTCAGCCTCCTGAGTAGCTGGGACTACAGGTGTGCACCACCACACCTGCCTAATTTTTGTATTTTTAGTAGAGATGGGGTTTCACCATGTTGGTCAGGATGGTCTCAAACTCCTGACCTCAGGTGATCCTCCCGCTTCCGGAGTGCTGCGATTACAGGTGTGAGACCCCACGCCCAGCCCAAACTTTGTATTATTAGTAAATCCTAGAGCTTCAGGTACCTTTGCAGCGCCCTCTCCTGGAAGGATGCCCATATGCAGGCTTTGCCTCAGACCTGAGCCCTGGACTCCAACCTCCGCCTGGAGTGGGTTGGTTTTTGTTTGTCTTCTTTCTCTTCCCTACCCACCTTCCCTCTACCACCAATACCAGCACACCGAACCACTCATGCCAAGGGGGTATCCAGGGTTGGGGCTCAGGTTTTCAGGGCCCAGGTGGGACCCGGGACCTCTAGCTTCAATCCATCTTTCCCTTCAGCCCCAGTCCCTGTCCTACGACCCCTAGCCTCACACCACCAGCCACATCTATCTGGAGGACCCCTAGTTTGAGATAACGCCAAGAATTCTGAATAGGCCATAGGATGGCAAAGGCCTATTGCCAGGTGGGAGTCCCATCCCTTCCCTGTTTCCTCCCTCTCTGTAACCCTTTTCCCCCTCCCTGCCCCCACTCCCACCTGCTCTGTGGCCTCCGTCCCCATCTCTGGCTACACGGGTTTCTGAGGTATAGCCACAGGGTGTAGAAGTTAAACTTCTAGCAGGACAGGAAGGAAGGGGCGGGGAGAGGGGCCAAGAGGGAGGTGGAGATTAGGGTCTGTCGGCTCACTTTCCCATTCCACCTCCTCCAAAAGACTTTACTCTCTTGTGCAGGATCTGGGAATTATGGGAAAAAGAGAGAGAGAGAGAGAGAGAAAGAAAGAAAGAAAAAAGAATGTACTCTATTTTGCCAGTGGAGAAAAAATGGGTTTAGGAATATAATGATTTGCTGTGTGATATTGACTAAATTTCTTGACCCCTCTGAGTCTGAGGTTTTTCATCTGCAAAGTGGAGTAAGGCAAAAATGTTAAATTCACAGTGCCCAGAGAGTGCCCGGTAACACTCCTGGAGTATAATTTGCCTTCAGAAAATGTTAGATTCTTTTACTTACCCTTCATTCCATTTTCAGGCACTACCCCCTCCACCACTTCCCTTTTCTTGAAATTGTCAGGATGCTTCTGGGCTTTGCTTCCCCGTCCTCACCCTTGTGGCCTTAGTCCCGGCCAGCCTTGGGTTACTTGGGGTTTTCCCGGTGGCTAGAGGCTCTCTACCCCCGCCCTTTCGCAGCACGGCTGAGGCACGCGCTTGCGCGGGGTCCGGGAAACCGGCGCGTGCCAGGAGAGAGAGGCTGGGGAAGGGGGGAGGTGAGAGGAGAGAGGGTGGAAAGGAGAGGATAGAGAAGAGCGGAGGACCAGGAACGACAGAGAGAGAGAGACAGAGAGAGAGAGACAGAGAGAGAGAGAGAGAGAGGGCGCCAGCTTGGGGGCGAAAGGAGAGAGGGAGGAGGGGTGGGGTGGGTGAGGAGGAGAGATCGGTCTGCTGCAAACCCCAGGAGGAGAGCTTGGAGCCCAAGCCAGAACTCGAGTCCTAGCTAGAGCCAGGCACAGGGAGGCGGCTGCCGGGATCGTCAGCCCTGCAGGATGCGTCTCCGGCTCTTCTGCATTCTGCTCGCCGCGGTCTCAGGAGCCGAGGGCTGGGGCTACTGTGAGTGTTGGGCTCGGAGGCAGGTGGGGTTGGGCCCAGGAGTCCAGACCCTACAGGGCGGTCCCGCACCGCATTGCGGCTTGGTGGTCGCGGATCCTTCCCGGCCGGCTGGCGCGCGCCCGCTGGCTCTCATCTTTTCCTGCCTCTCCCCCGCGCTCCGCATTGCAGCTCTGAGGCTGCCGCGCGCGCCCGGGGCTGGGGCTGGGCTCCGGGGCGAGGATGAAGTCAGCCGGGCAGGGATTTGGGGATGGGATCCAAGCCTGGGTCTGAGGCTAGGGCTGAGATATACGTGTAGTACTGGTGACCGAGAGCAGAATTAAGGTTTTGCCAGGGCTTGAGGCTGGACTTTGGAGCCCGCCAAGGGCCAGGTTTTGTGGCTAGGGCTGGGGTTTGTGGCTGGGGCTGGGTTTTGTGGCTGGGATCCAAGCAGGAGTTGGTGTCCCTGATTGATGCTAAGGCTGGACATGGAGCTGTTGATGGTCCTAGGACTGGCTGAGGTTGGGTGCAAGGCCTGTATTTGGGGATGGTGCATGTTTTGGGGGCGGAGTGGGGATTGAGGCTAGGGTTGGAGCTGGATTGGTGTCTTGGGCTGACTCAGGTTCTGGAAGATGCTGATGTTTAGGATTGAGTTCGGGGAAGTACTAAACCAGGGCAGGTACTGGGCTAGCTAGGGAGGGTCTGGCCTTGGGCCTATAGGTGTAGCCTAGGTGTTTCCCTAGAAGAAGGCAGCCTCCTCTGAGCATGCAGCTGTTGCTGCAGCCAGGATTGAATAGATGACTTTAAGGTAGTGTGTGTCTGGGGGTGGGGGTTGGGGGCAGATAATTCGGAGTTTCGGTTGCTCAGTGGGCCGGCCTTTGGAAGGGCTTGGGAGGGGCCAGCGCTGACTAACTTGTCAGTTTCTTTACCCTAGACGGCTGCGACGAGGAGCTGGTGGGTCCCTTGTATGCACGATCCCTGGGTGCCTCCTCCTACTACAGTCTCTTCACTGCGCCGCGATTCGCCAGGCTGCACGGTGAGCTCCGCGGAGCAACAGCTGCGAACCGGCAGCGAATCTTGGCAGGGTGGGGGACTCCGGAGGGCTTCAGGGAGAGGGGTAGCTGGTTAAAGCTCCTGCCCCTTCTATAGGCATAAGCGGCTGGTCACCACGGATTGGGGATCCGAATCCCTGGCTCCAGATAGACTTAATGAAGAAGCACCGGATACGGGCCGTGGCCACACAGGGCTCCTTTAATTCTTGGGACTGGGTCACACGTTACATGCTGCTCTACGGCGACCGAGTGGACAGCTGGACACCGTTCTACCAGCGAGGCCACAACTCGGTACTCTGGATGTCAAGGCGGGACCACTTGGGGAGCGTCCTCTGCTCCAGGCTCCGGGCTGGGCACCAGCCTCTGGGAAAATGGAAGGGGCGGGGGTGAAGGCACCGATGAGGAGCAGTGACTCTCTCCAGAGGGACTGTCAGCCTAGGACGTGCGCGAAACGCACGGTTCACAGGGTTTAATATACTTTAGGGTAAAACCTGGCAGCGCATCCTAAGGAGGCGACATTTGATTTCAGGTTTGAGGAAATAATAGGATGGTGGGAGAGGACACTTTAGGGAAACTGGGGGCAAAGCCACCCAGCAGGGGAGATCAAGGAGTCTTTACTTTCCAGAAGTCGAGATTGGCTGGGTATGAAAGTTGGGGCTGGGAGGCTATGGAGAAAGCAGCAGAAGATGGGAGGTGGTTACTGACTCCTCTCCCCCACCCCCGCAGACTTTCTTTGGTAACGTGAACGAGTCAGCGGTGGTGCGCCACGACCTGCACTACCACTTCACTGCGCGCTACATCCGCATCGTGCCCCTGGCCTGGAACCCACGTGGCAAGATCGGTCTGAGGCTTGGTCTCTACGGCTGCCCATACAGTAAGCGTGCAGAGAGCGCGGAGGAGGCCCGGGAGACAGTCTCCCCAGTCCCCGGCCCACCCACTGTCCTTTCCGCAGAGTCCGATATACTCTATTTCGACGGCGACGACGCCATCTCATACCGCTTCCCGCGAGGGGTCAGCCGAAGCCTGTGGGACGTGTTCGCCTTCAGCTTCAAGACCGAGGAGAAGGACGGGCTTCTGCTGCACGCCGAGGGCGCCCAAGGCGACTACGTGACGCTGGAACTGGAGGGGGCACACCTGCTGCTGCACATGAGTCTGGGTGAGCTCGGCGACTGGGTGCGATGCGGGAGCCAACCCCTGACGCTCTCTCACCGCGCTCCTCGCGCCACTCCTCCGCGCAGCCGCGCTCACGCCTGGTCTTCCATTCCAAACTGCCCCTTTCTTGTTGCATTTGGTGCTAGCAAAACACTGGAGTCGGAGTCAAGGGAACTGGATTCCAGTCTCAGCTCTACCACTACCCAGCGCTGTGACCTTGGATGGGGCACTTTCCCAGCCTCAGGTCCCTTGTAAAACTATGCATATGCACACACACACACACACACACACACACATATTGTATCTCGTTAGCTTTGCAACACCCCCGGGATGGGATAGAAGCAGCTCATGTGTTCCAAGTTTTACAGACAGGAAGCAGAGGCTAAATGGCTTACCCTGTCAAACACCCGCCAATGGCTGTTGCTGTAGTCGCCCACTCTCCCTGGTTGTCCTGGGCTTTGTGTTCTGCCTAGGAGCTGGGACTCCCTGGAGTTCTCCTGGCTTGAGGTCTCACTCTGTCCTGCCCCACCCTCAGGCAGCAGCCCCATCCAGCCAAGACCAGGTCACACCACGGTGAGCGCTGGCGGCGTCCTCAATGACCAGCACTGGCACTACGTGCGGGTGGACCGATTTGGCCGAGATGTAAATTTCACCTTGGACGGCTATGTGCAACGCTTTATTCTCAATGGAGACTTTGAGAGGCTGAATCTGGACAATGAGGTGAGAGATTCGGGAGATGCCATTTCGTTGGGGGGGGCGGGGTGCTGGGTGAGTGAGTGGAGGACAGTCTCTCTCTGTCTTTCTGTCTCTCTCTCTCTCCTCTCTTTCTCTTTCTCTCTGAGGTAAGACCTCACATTTCAGGTTGGGGGTGGTGGCTCATGCCTGTAATCCCAGCACTTTGGGAGGTTGAGATGGGAAGACTGCTTGAGGCCAGGTGTTCAAGACAGACCTGGACAACACAATGACATCACACCTCTATTTAAGGTTTTTTGTTTTTTTTTTTTTTTAAAGACCTCGAATTCCAATTCCCGAATATCCTAGCAGCCCTTGGCAAACTTGCTGCTCACCAGAAAAAGGCCTGTTTTTGTTCGTTTGTTTTGGTGGGTGTTGTTGCTGTTAGCATGCAGACTCCCAGGCACCATTTCAGAACTGAGATGCGGTTTGGAAATCCAGATTTTGGGGACTAGACAAGGCAGGAAAATTGTCCCCTTAGATCCTCCCACAAGTTTTTGGAGTTGTTAAAGACCTTGGCCCCGACTGCAGAGAAGAATCCCAGACAGACTAATTGACTTGCCCAAGGGCGTTCGGCCGATTTGTGCTGGAGTCAGAGCTCGAACTCAAGCCTTGAAAGGCCTAGCGAGCTTTAGTACCGACACTGGGGACGTGTGTTTCAAGTCTTTTACAAATCCCCACCTGGCGCTTGGGAAAGCGTCCGGCGGGGACGCGCGAGAAAGGTAGGCGCGCTCCTGTGCCGGAGAGGCCTCATTCCCCACCCCTCCCGCAGATGTTCATCGGAGGTCTGGTGGGAGCCGCGCGGAAGAACCTCGCCTATCGGCATAATTTCCGCGGCTGCATAGAAAACGTAATCTTCAACCGCGTCAACATCGCAGACCTGGCCGTGCGGCGCCATTCCCGGATCACCTTCGAGGCCAGTGGGCAGGGGGTCTGGGAGGACAGGATACCAAAGCCTCGTGGAAAGCAAAGAGGTGGAACGGGAAGAGATAATGGGCATCAGATAAAAGCCGAGGATCCCTCTGTCCCCAGCCAAATGCTCAAGTTGGACGCGGGGGCGGGTCTCACTTGAGGTGCGCAAGCCACGCAGCCTCCCAGTTAAGAAGCCGTGGGTGGGTCCAATGATCTGCTTAATTCATAGATAAGCAACGTAAGGCGCAGACACAGGGAGTGGCTTGACCAGGGGACGCACAACTGCGCAGTGGCTGAGTAGGACTCGAACCGATGGCTTCTTTGATATGCTCCCCTCACCCCCTCTCCGACTCTGGAGCTCTGTCGGGAAGCTGGCAGGAGCCATGTCTGTGGCCCGAAATTGCCTCTCGATACTGGAAGGAAAGAAGTGGTCACGCTGCAGATGGTGGAGATCAGCGAGAGGAAGCGAGCAGAGTTCCAAGGGCTGACTGGGTTGGGGGTCCCCTCCGCGGATGGACGAGCTTGGAGGGGAAGGGGGTCATGTCATGGTTGGAGATCTCACCCTGTC